TCTAGTCATAGAAATCAGATTTTTGGTCTAGTTTATTTAAGATGGATGTCTCAATAGAGCGATACTTGGTGATCTTTAAAGGGTATACGAAGAATCATCACCGACTAGAAGTTTCGATTGTTGAAAGGTACACTATAGAAGAAGCTGTTGAGTTTTGTACAAAGTATTTGTCAGAAGCAGATCCTATAGGAATTCCAAAGTCTAGTCATGCTAACAGATATGAAGGTCGAGGTACTCAAGGTTTAAATGTTAAGTCAATGGCTCAGGATGTAGTTCTTTAAGAAAACTTTTATATATTGAATAATCTTGATGACGTTCAACCTTACATAGCTACTAAAAAAACACTTGTGAAGAAATAAAAAATCCCCAAATAAGTGAAAAGTTGTTGTTGACAGAGCATAACAAGAAATTCATAGATTGGTTTAATAAAGAAATATATAATGATGATAGTGCATTCGAGACAATTAAATGGTTTTCGTACATGCCAAAATTTAATTTCATAACTTAGACTACATACGACATTGGTTATTTTCCTTTTATACAAAATTAAAACATGATCGTAGTATAATGAAAAATAGTGGGGTTATGGTTGAGTCCAAATCCATATATTTCATAAGTTTGAAAGATAAGAATCATATATTAGCATCTGGAGCGTTCTATGGTGTCATTGAAAAGATTTGGGAGATTGACTATGTTATTTTCAAAGTGCCTTTATTTAAACACAAGTGGATTCCCAATGATAATGGTCTACAAACTGATGACTTAGGATTCACCCGGGTTGACTTTGGCAAGACAACTTATATGGCCGAACCATTCATCATGGATTCTCAAGCAAAAACAGTTGTATATATGAATGAACCTTCAGACATATCGGGGAGATGGTCAATCGTTCTCCAAGAAAAATATATTCCTCGTAGTGATGAAAGTTTTAATATTCTTCCATTCCTTCTTATGAAACAAATGTGTCTACTTCATATGATGAAGTTTATAGAGATGATGTGCATGTTATTTGTAACGATCATAAAGAAGGCATATGGAAAAATTAACAAGTATATTATTCTTTATTCATAATTTATTATAAGTTATAATTTCTAAGTTTATTTACTAACAAGTATGATTATTTAAAATTATAAGTGTTTAAAGTCAAGACACCAAGAGACAAGAAACTAAAACACCAAGATACAATTATTTGATGTAATGATGTGTAAATTGTAGGTTATTTTGTGCCATTTTGGTTTTGATGTAATATACAATTTTTGAATTTGATGTAATATAGTTTTTGGTATGATACGATTCACAAATGCGTGTTACTGTTTCTAATCTGATATGATTCACAAAAATATAGGTTAAAAAATGGGAAAATGTATAGAAGAAGAAATATATATAAAAAAAGCAAGTGATTTCACCACAGTTGCTAAAATATAATTGTGGTTATATGTTGAACGCTATCCAGAATAATTTAAATCCCAAAAATGGTGTTGATAAGTATCGAACCAAGGACCTTTAAACTTTTCACAACAGTTATGTATCATGCTTGTGGTGATAGGTAGCGCACATTCCAATTTTCTACAACGGGTACTAGACAATGATTGTAAGTAACACATATATAACAACACGTTACATAACAACGGCTAGTCCTCCGTGATTATATATCTTTGCCAACTGTGATTGTATGTGTTTTTCGTAGTAGCGGGTCCTTTTCCCCCGCCTCACATTGCGTAGTTCTTTGTGCTTTTGTTGCATTTTTTGCAACCGGCGTGTAACCTTCATTGACGAGATCAAGAACATCTTGAGCTCAAAACAACACGCATCTAAATCGACCACCAGTTCCAGTTATTTCTATCGAATACTGGAAGCTTTGTGTTCAAGCTACTGTTTCGACCGTTCATTTTTGTTCTTGTGCAAATCACTCAATTCTCACCAACACCCGTGTTTCCCAAACCTTAAGAATTAAGGTCTATGATTCTCTCCAATTTCAAACTTCAATTCAACGTGAATTTCAGAACCAAAATCAATCACACACCCCTATTACACTCATGTTTCCCTGTGAATCGAACCGGAGCTTTGGATATCAATTGTTAGAGTTCAACAATAAACCCCCACTAATAATACACAAGAACTTAAAAAAAATGAACAATGAAAGAACAATTACACACACACACACACAGAGATAGATAGAGAGATAGATAGATAGATAGAGAGATAGATAGAAAGAGAGAGTTGTGTAACTATCTTTCTAATTTCATAAAATGCAACATTCAATTATGTTACAAATACAATTACATTTGGGTTTATATAAACATCAAATTCAAATCCAAATGAGACTCAAATACAAATACAATTGAAACTAAAACTAAACAACCTTGAATGTTGAATTACATTCAACAGTGAGAACGATAATCAAACGGTTCAAGTGACTCCTCAAGGACATAAGTGTACTTAAGTGCACTCCAATGGTCTAGACACACACACTACTCCTTAGCCTGCTCACATATAGTCGCACATAAGGTATTTGTTGCGGTGAGAATCAGATATCAAGCTATTGAATTAACCTGAATCACAAATGTTTGAAGTTCACCACCAAACTTTGATTTATCCAAAGGAAAGGGTAAAGATCGAAGAAAATCCTAAGTGTGCTATGTAACAACAAAGTTAAGAGATCTAAGGTTCGGGGGTTGGTTATACCTAGGGAAGGTGTTAGCATCCTAAGTATTTGTAATACTCTACAGGAACCTCTTGTTAGCATTTGTGCTATGTTATTTCTTTGCTTGCTAATGAAGAGATGCTAAGGGAAAGACCTAAGGTATTTACAAAGTATGCTCGCCAAGACATCACATCTCGTGCCTACGTATCCTAACAAGCATGGAATCAGAGCATTCGTAGTTTACTTTACTAGGGGTGAGGAACTCTTGACTGAACAAGGTTCCAATGGGGAAGGTAAGTGTCCATAACCACGACACTTACATGGAGTTAGGCAACTCCAAACCTAAGGCTAGGTTAAAAAGGAGAGGTAAGTGTCCATGGCAAGACACTCACATAGAGTGCGACGACTATAATCCTAAGACTAGGATAAAAGGGGAAAGTAAACGTCCATGGAAAGACACCTACAAAGAGTGCAACGACTCTAATCCTAAGGCTAGTATAAATGAATAAGACTCTAACAAGGTCTCAAGGGAATGGCGGACAAGGTTATCCTAAATATGACACGGCATTCAACAAGAGGGGAAACTTTCCTTTAAAATTATCAAGAAAAGATTTTGGATACGAAAAGAAGGAAAATCTATGGGAGACTGAATCCTAAATGTTGTCAAACAATGATGGACCTAAAGTTGAGATAAAAAGGGAAAACTATCCTAATGTCGTTATGCAAAGATTAAGAGCCTAAAATCTATCCTACCTCGAGCTTAATCGAAAATTAAGTTGAACTAGGAGGTTTTAAGGGAACGTGTGAAAACAACGCAAGAAACAACATAACAGTTAAGCATACCAATCGAGAAGCAAAGCCAAACAAGACTCGAGCACAAAGAGAAATTTATGTCATGGCAAAGCATCAAGCACAAGACAAGCAATATCAAAAATTTCAGATTAAAGTTCCAAAGACTAATCAAAAGGTTTTATCAACACTTAATCCAAATAACTACATCACAAGTAACATTAAGAATTGTATTTGAAATCGAAATTAAGAATTGACTAAAAGAACGAAATTAAGAGTTATCCAAAAATTAAAATTAGGAATCAATTAAAATTAAAGTTAAAAGTTATCCAAAAATTAAAACTAAGAATCAATTAAAATTAAAGTTAAAAGTTATCCAAAAATTAGAATTAAGAATTAATGAAAATTAAATAAAATTAAGAGTCATCCAAAAATGAAATTAAGAATTAATAATTACCAAAGTTAAATAAAAGATGAAAGGGGGTGTAAGCAGGAAGGAAACACGGCTGGTAAACTTAACAAGAAGGGTGGAGCCAGAGAAATCTGTAACGGGCTTTTGAAACAAAGCTCAAATCCCTCAATAAAACAAATTTTTTATTAAAAAAATGAAAACCAAGGCACAATCATGTAAAAGGAAGACACATTAGCACAACCATGATGAGTTTCGGAAAAACAAAATCGCATCAGCAACCGCAACGACCATGGAAAGAAGAGCAAAAGTTTCACCAAGACAAGATGAAGGACCTCTTGAAGCTATGCATTGATATTGACCTAGAAAGTTTATGCAAATGAAGATGGCATCTAAAACGTAAAATTTAAGATATGACAGTATTCATCTAAACGTTTCAATGGTTAAACAAACATTTAATGAAAATGTCCTCGGAACCTTTCCACTTTTCCACACGAATATGGGTATAGAATTGCCTTACCCGATTTGAAGATTTTCCACGCCTCACAGCATGATAAGTCTAAGACAATTGTTTCGTACCAATCAAACCCAAGACTCAAAAAACCATTATAAAAGCCTAATCCTAGTTATCCGATAAATATCCCATTTCGTGCAAATACAAATATGACTTTTCTTTTTATAATTTTTTCTTTTTATAATTTTACAAACTAACTGGACCGTTAGAGTGCTAATTTTTACCATTGTGCCGGAGCTACAAATTTTTAAAAATTAGATTATTTAATTAAGTTTTATTGAAGAATGGTTTTGTTTATTTTACTCAATTAGAAAAACTTAACGTGAGAAAGTGAATAATTTAGAAATGATAAAAGTAGTTTAAACTGGAGGTAGTATCATCATTAATATTTAGTTTATAATAAAGATAATATATCTTGTTTTTTAATGTTGTCAATAAAGGAAAATAGTAGGAGTAGTATTGTAGGAAGTGTTTATTAATACGTATAAAATTCAAGTAACATAAATATTTGTCGTCACCAACGCCAATATTAATATCCTTTACAAATACAAGCATTGTTTTTTTTAATTTATTTTTGATATTTCAAGATATGCACAGTAGAAAGTTTTGAAGTCCCAATTAAGATTAGAACATCTAATTTAAACTCATGATCCCATCTTCCAAGTGATAGAGAAATTTTTACCTACTGGGATATTCAAACCCTTCATTCCAACCATAACTATCTTCTTTTCTCCATCTCCTTTCCCATATAAGTAACTTTGTTCAGTTGTATCAATTTTCACATTTGATAGTTTACCATCTATTTCCCTTGTAGCTGTTTCTCCATTTCCAGTTAATCCCAACACATTTATTGTGTCAATAACCCAACCTTTATCCAGAGCAAACTTGCTCTCTTGGACTTCTGACCAAACTTTCACAGTTCCTTTTTTGACAGTTGCATGAAAATCAATGTATGTTGAATAGCCATTTCCAAGCTTCATTTCTGGAAGCTCATCGTCGTCGAGGAATAAGTTTCCTTTAGCCATTCCTTCATTTGCACCGGCTGGAAATGTGACAATGAGGCTAAAAGGTGTCGTTCTAGCATCCTTAGATACCATACCACCTTGTTGCATTGGAAGAATGGTGTTTTGATATAAATGCACATTGACCACATGCAAGGGTGCATTAAGGGTCACATTGTTTCCGTCTTTGGAAACAATTACTTGTGTCAAATCAAATAAACTGTACCATGTTCCGGGTGGAAAGAGTGCTTCAACTTCCGTTTTTCCTTGCTCGAGAACAGGAGAAATCATTAGGCCACTTCCGAGTAAGAACTGAGTGCTGACGCCGTAACATTGAACATAGTTTGGAAATGAGAAGAAAAGAGGCCGAGCAATCGGGGCTCCACTGATATGAGCCTCGTAGTTTAAGGTGTACAGATAGGGTAGAAGCTTATACCTCATCCCCAGAGAATTTCTAGCTGACTCGGCCACCGATTCCCACTGGTAAAGTTCTTGTCTTGGAGAGTAGTAGTTTGCATGGTCCCTTGAGAAAGGGTAGAAAGCACCAACTTCGATCCACCTATTGCAAAGCTCTTCGGTGGGCGCGGGATAGAAACCACATATATCAGAACCAACCATTGGCACTCCAAATATTCCGAAATTCAGCATTGTAGATATTGAGTATCTCAAATTCTCCCATGTGCCTTGATTGTCGCCTGTCCAATGCGCTGCGTATTTGCCTGAACCAACATATGTCGAGCGGGTCAAAATAAAAGGCCTTTTTCCTTGAAGACCTTGAAGGGCCGTGTGAGTTGCAATGGTTTGAGAAAAACCATAAATGGTATGAGCATCATACTCCAAAACGCCGTTATAGTGAACTGCGCTTGTGGCTATAGTTTTGAAACCTATAGGAGCTTGTAATCCTGAAGCATTAATTTTGTAGGGAGGATCGTCCCATCGCGTGTTGGTGATGTTTTTGCAATCTAAGCAACATATCCAACCAGGTCCTGTTCCATTCGGACACACCTTTCCGGTAGGAATTGTACATTTTCCAGAGCAGAAATTTGAAGCTTCATTCATGTCAATCCATAAGCCATCAACCGGGACTAGTTCATGGAAGCGGCGAATCTCGTCACCCCACCAAGAAACTGTTTTTGGATTGAGAAAATCAGGAAAGTACACTGCTCCTGGCCAAACCTGAGCCAAAAAGGGTTCACCTTCATGCTTGATGAAAACATCATTAGCCATACCTCTTTGGTATACACCATAACTCGAGTTAACAGCAATTCCAGGATCAATGATCACAATGTATTTCATTCCAAGGCTGTGTATTCTGTCTAGAAAGCTTAAAAGCTTTGGACGCGGGTAGCTAACTGGATTGAGTGTGAAATCCTTGTGTCCATCCATGTGATCGTCATCGTTCCATATCACATCAAGTGGGATTTTGGCTTTCTTGTAATTTTCTACAACGTCTTCTACAACAGATAGGTTGTGATAACCCCATCTGCATTGGTGGAATCCTATTACATAACAAATAAATCAAGTGAGCATGTTGGTTAAATTGACACGTTTGGACACCGGATACACTTTTGTTCAGAGGTGTTGGTGTTAGTTAATGCGGAATCATGTACCACAATAATATTGATAAAAACTACACTTCCCAAGTTTCAAAATTCAGGTACAGAATAGTAGTTAATAGAATGTGCAACACAGTGGTATGAGAGATTGTGAAAAGTGAAAAGTGAAACATACCAAAAGCCCAATAAGGCATTGGAGCTGGTCTACCGATAAACGATGTGTACTGATCAACAACATTAAGAGGCGTAGGACCTGCAAAGAAATAAAAATCAAGAACTCCTCCAATAACCTTGTAGGTCAGAGAGGTTCCTTTGTAAAACACATCCATTCCATTGCTATTCAACAACAGAACACCATGTGTATAAGGTTTGCCACCTTCATTTCTAAGATCCATGTACACAGGGTGTGATCCATATAGATCAGTATTGAGATTAATGGCAGATACATCTGTGGTATACAAAGTATAAGGCTCATTAGGATGCAACTTTATCCCATGTGGCTGTGTGTTTTCTCCTAAACCATACAAAGAAGCATCTTTAGGCAATTTGGTAGAGATTTCTAAGTATTGGTCTTTGAAAACCAATGGACCAAATGAGTCTGAATTGTTAGAATTGGAATCAAAAAGGGTATCTCCATTGGACTTTCTTTTCACTGCAAAACTAAATGGGTCAGAAGTGTAACTGAAAACAAGCTCAGAGCTTGAATATTCTGACACCGATAATGGCTTCTTCTCCTTCAACCTCTTAATGTTCTTCTGCTTCAGAGGTGGTGGTTGCTCCCTAGGCAAATGATCGTAAGGAACCTCCCACCTTTTGTTCTTTGCATCTGTTATGTGAACCCTCAAACGATTCTCAGTTTCATGCCTGCAAAACCAAAAACCAAAGTATAAGGTTCATAACACAACACTCCTGTTTAGCAGAACCGTCTTTGAGGGTGTGTAAAGACGAAGACGACTCGGTGTCTGTGTTGAGTCTATCAATGACACCACACCAACACATGTACGTGTTAGTGTCAAGTCTGATATCTTTATTAGTGCTTAATAAGAATCGTGAAGAAAAAAACATGAATGCATAATGGTTTACTTGACATAGAAGCGTAGAAGCGGAATGTCAGGACCATAGACATTATTCCTCTCCTTAACTTGAAGGAGTCCAGTGATAGCACCATTATGGTCATCTTGAATAGATATCAAACGGTAACCTTGACCAATTTTGGTGGATTTTGGAGAAGAAGAGGAGGCATGTTTAGCTTCAGAGAGAAAGAAAGTTAGAAGAAGATAAGAGAGAAAAAGAGTGGCCAATGGATTAAGAGAAACCATTGTAGTACACTGTAGAGTAAAACAACGTGGGAGAGGGTTCTGATATATATAATTGAGAAAATGGTTACTTTGGCATTTTTGTGGGACATAAGAAGATTGAGTGAGGAAGTGTCTCATAGGATCCATTACGTTACGCGTGACTTTGAACTTGAGAGGATCATACTAATCTTGTGACTGTGGGCCATTCTCTATCATGCTGAAGTGGATAGATAATTAGATACCTTAAAAGTTGTCTGATTTTTTACCCTAACTGATAAAATCAACTTATAACACACTTTTTCTTTTTATAAAAATAATTCTTGTTTATAACATTTATAAATATTTGTAACATATTTTTATTTATAGAAATAATTATATTAATAGTTGAATTTTTTTTCATTTATAAAATTATTTATAATTTATTTTTGTTTATAAAAATATTTGTAACTTATTCCAATTTATAAAAATAATTGTATCAATAAATTTTTACCATTTATCATTATTTTTTTTTCCATGTTTACCATTATCGGTTATAAAGTTTATTTGAAAATATTTTGATAACTTTTAGTAATTTTATAAGTGTAGAAAAATTACAAAATCTCAATTGATTTTGTTTTGTTTTATTAACTTTTTTCTAAAAATATAAATAATTTCAAAATATATTTTATTTTAAGTAAGAATCTAAATAATTGCAAAATATATTTTATTCATATGTTTTTAGAATGAAAAAATAAATATTTATCGTATCATATTAAATTTATTTATTCAATAGTAATAAATAAGTGTCTCATATTAAATTATGTTTATAAATAGATGTCACTTATTGGTGATTAATATAGAATTTATTATTTTAATATTTAGTTAATTTGATTAAAGTAAAATAAATATTTTAACTAATTAAAATATATATTCTATAAAAAAAGACAAACTTAATAGTACATATTACAATTAGATATTTCTCATTTATAAAAATATTTATAAATAATAATCTATCCATCTAAATGTTTTAGATAAGCTTTTTTTTAATTAATAATAATAATATTGTAAACCAAATTAATCATAATTTCAGTTTTGCAGATAATTTCTTCATCCTCATCAAAAATTCTTCTTTATCGACATGCTTCTTTTTTTTTCTTACAATAGTTTTTTTTAGTCTGATATATACAAATATTGATTATTACTATGAAAAAAACGAATTAAACCTTCAATTTCAAGAGAAAAACGAATAAATCACTTACAACATTATCAAACCTATCAATAAAACAATTATTTCATATGACATACCTTTTGAACCTTAGTCATATATACATTATCTTTAATATGTATTTACAACACACTTTGCACAACTGCTTAATTATATTCTACCACTTCACACTAAATTCATATATACACCGGAAAATAAATTTACATAAAATAGACATTGCAACTCCAATTCTCATTGAGCGCCATATTCTTTTTCAATTATCCTTTGTTGTTGAAATCAACTACATCAAATCAACTCCAACATTCTTTGTTGTGACAAATGTTAGACCTGAAGGACACAATGCAATTATATCTCAAGAAGATAGGGATAACTTAAGCATATCTCACAATAGAGAAATGTTCCTATAAAGACTCCATCAGTATTGCATAACACATATAATTAACTCAATGTATGGATAAAGAATTGTTCCTTAACAAATTAGCATACCTTCAAGTACAACATTTCCACCAACAACAACACTAACATGATTTCCACCATCTACTACAGTAGCAGCAGGTTTAGTAGATTTATTTCATATGTAAGAACATTTATCCTACTACATAGATTCTAATGATGTTTCTAAAATCAGTGGATGAGATATGATGGATCAACTGAAGGCTCTAAAGATTTGACTAACTTTGGTAAAACATGATGTTGCACAAGATGTTCCAACAAGAAGAAATCTGTAAAGAGAAACATGTCAGACAAGATATCCTAGCATTGTAGACTCGACATCTTGGTCTGGTTTAACAGATTCGTTGCAGATCTATTCCAAGATTTAAGGTGCAATCAGAACGTGGATCAAGGAAAGATTGGACAAAGACTTCAAAGTCCATGGACTGATGAAGGCTATAAAAGGAAGACCAAGACCTAGGGCATAATAGAGAGAAAACCTTGTAATAAATTCTTGTAAAGTAATTATAAGGGTTTAGGATTTTGAGAGTCGTGTACTTTCTTGTGTTGTAAGTCACCCTTTATATCAGTTGATACATTGTGGTAGACATAGTTTTTGATATTCAAAAGCCTGTAGGTAATGAATTATATATTGTTCTTGGATGAAGCTATTAAGCAAATTCAAGTATTATTGTTAGTTAAGAGTCTTGACTGAATATTGTATTGAGAGGGGTGTCTTTCAATTAAACAATTTAATATAGTCACTGGAGGTTGTAACTGTTAGATATCACTGAGGTGATTTAGGAATTGAGACGAGTTTCTCTTATCTAGATGGTGATTTCTAGATAGAATTGTACTAGGTAGGGATTAAGTGAGGAGTTGTAAATGGGGGAGTTTAGCTCTAAATTAATACTACTAATAGTGGATTCATTCTTGGCTTGGTAGCCCCCAGATGTAGGTGTTGTTGTTCACTGAACTGGGTCATCATATCTTGGTGTTCTTTATCTTTCTGTTATGTTAAATTCACTCTGCTCTTATACTCTGAAATATACATCTTGATAGATGTTGAAACATCTGTCATGACACTGTAATGTATTTGCAGTATTTTGATCTTCTTGTTTTTCGCCTTGTTTAGTTATGCAGAGATCAATGTCTCAACATTTCTTGGGACATCTGTGATCTCTACACCAGAATTTCAATTGGTATTAGAACATGCATCTTGTTCTATTTCTGGATTAGTTCTAGGGAAGATACTTTTTGGTCTTTTGAACAAGGAATGAGATTGTGTGATCAGACCATCTATTACTATTGTGATCGAGGAATATTGGAAGCTAAGAGGATAGTTTTATGAATCTGGCCTGACAACTACTGATGGTTGACTGAGAGCTCTATGAAGATTTGTCTGGTGCTGCTGATAATGATGTTATTGTTACGCATGGTGCCTTATAAGATGTTCTGACATCTTACCTGGTGTATGTTGAATATGGAGTTATTTTTTATGGTTGTTCTAGTTACCTCTAGCTGGGAGTAATAGACAGAAGAGAGCATTGTGATCTGGATTCTTCTGAAGGACCTTTCTATGTTGCTTGGAAGATAGTTTCAATCAAGTAACATGAAGGATAATATGAGGAAAAAGGTTAAGTTGAGGTCTTGTGTATCCAACACATTATCTATGGATTTGATAAACTCTCTATGTCATGAATGAAGTAGCCTAAGATACTTGAGTTCTTTTCTCAAGTCCACTCGTAAGTGACTGCTGAATGTGTTCATAATAGAAGATGGTATTCTAAGGAATATTTATGCCTTAAATATCTCTCTCTTAGTTGTTGTTTGAGTAAGGAGGGTTGTCTTATGACATTTTGTGACTAAAGAATACGGAATTGGGGATTTAAAATCAATTGCTATTTGTGGCCTTAACATGTATCTGATTGATTATCTTTTTAATTGGTGATGTCAAAAGTGTCACTTCTGAAGGTGCAGCTTCAGACAGGGCAAGAACTCAAGATCCAATGACCTGTTCATTGGAAAAAGACCTAATGTTCAACCAGATATTGAAACATCACTTCTGAAGAGTGTGCGCAGAATCTTGTTGATCCAAATAGTGAACTTCTTGGACAAAGGAGAGATGTAGTATATGTTCTGGAGGATAAACAAATGTGTGTTTATCAATAGTGTTGGGAATCTTCTTCAAATTGGTCTTGAAGAGTCTTTTGGTCTGTAATCTAGGAAGCCTTTACCCAAGAGTTTTGTCTTGTATGTATGCTGGTGAAGATGAAGATCAAGAGACCGTCAGCTTTGGTGAGTTGTCTTTAGGTCAGTTTATTTCTAATCTGGAGATATGCACCTGGTTATCCTTTGAAGGAGCTTGTGGCATGTTTTAGAGGTGTGAAGACATCTCTACCAAATTTTATGCATATGGAAGTCAAGGAAACATGTCTAGGACATCAACCTGACATCTTAGAGACTTTTCTGGCTGACCTGGGTGATCTTATAGATAGTCGTCTATCATATGACTACCTCATCTATTAGGTTTGGTTTTGGTGTGGACTCTGATCTTGTGTGAATGATTCTCTTGGAGAATTGTGCTTAAGGCAGATTGTCATCGAGATATTTGTTGCTTCACTTGAGTTATCACTGGTTGTTGTTTTTCAATTCTTATGTACAAGATGGAGGTTGTTTACTCAAACTTGATTTAATGATCAAGTCTATGAGAACATGGAACTCTTATTTTGTTATGGTGGAAAATCCATTCAAAGTGGGATAATGTATGGAAGTCTAAGGGCCCGATCTTCAAGACTGTTTCAGGCATGTGTGGTTTCACCAATTGGCTAGTTAAGTCAATGATATAAATCAAATGTTCTGACATTGGACTGAACATCTGGATGTTGATGTTGAAGTCATTTTTATGCAATGGAGATGTACCATCTTGTATAAGTTGGTCTTATTAGGAGTGGATGCTCTCCAACTATATGGTTGTTTCCTAAGTTTATCTCATCCTTTTTGAATCATGCAATATCTAAAAGCTCAAAGGATTTGATGATTGCTTGGTGTTTTCATATCTTCTTGGAGTCTCATCTAAGATGTTTGATATGAGTGTTTTGGAGTTCTGTCTGGGGTAAGGGGGTGTAAGTATTGGAAGCTCCGGTTCTATTATTCCCACGTGATCAAGGACCTTGTGAAAAGTATTCTGATTGGTTACTTATGGAGGAAGATGTTTTTTTAGTGTACTCCAAGGAACTGCCTGCTCAAGCTTGTTGTTTGATAGTGTTGCTGTACTTTGGCTTGTGGTAGACTATGCAAGGAGGATAGAAGATTGAGGGGCAAAGCAGAAGCAGATCTCGTAGAAAAGTCTATTTTTGGTATGATGCACAATCTATATCTTCAT